CGTTGACATCAACAATATCGCGATGTTGACACCATCGTGACGACATCGTCTACATCGTCCCCCTTTTCTGTCTATATCGTTAACATTGCCGACATCGCGATGTTGACAACATCGTTACGACATCGTCTATATCGTGACGACATTGTCTACTTTGTGATGTCGACAATATCGGTACTACTTTGTACACTGGACATGAATGAAAAATTGACATAATTACACATTGTACATCTGTAGCAAGAGCAATTCTGCTCGAGATTCGGAATGCGTACCACAGATAATACTAGTTTATTGACTGGTTTACGATAGATGCCAAATGTAATAACGTTAAAATAATTTAAACTTAATGAAAGGGAAACAGTTTAAACAAAATTCATGTATAATTGTTCAAAAAAGACCTTAAGCAATTATTTTATTTATTTCGGAAAGCATCATTAACTGGAGCATCATGAAATTGTAGTATTGTGGCAACTACGCTAAATATATGTATTTGACTTAGTACGGTTAAATTGTAGGCAATCCTTAATCAATTGTAAACAATCACAGATTGCTAAATACTATATTGGTAAATTTCAAAGTTTTTTAAATTTTGGTAAGTAGAATATTTTAACTATTCAAAAAAAAGATAAATATATTCTGTATATTTATATATGTCTTTTTGAATAAATCATAAACACCAAAATATATATTATTTTAAATACTTTGTAATAACAAAACATTAAATGAAATATAAATATACAAGTATGAAATCTGGTAATAAAAAGGGGAGCTAACAACCCATTTAAGTTATATTAAACTTATGTTAACTTAAATATAGACGTGAACCGTGTGGATATAATCATTTCTAGCTATTATAGAATAAAAAAGACAAAATACGAAAATATTTTTATGAAATTCCGTTGATTCATTGTCAAAACATAAAACAGACAGTTGTTTTACTAGAAATGGGTTAAGCTAGATAATTGATAAGAAGTAGTGGATTCGGAAACGATAATCAACTTGCGACTAAAGTCGCTCGTTGATTATCGTTTACGAATCCACTACTTCTTATCAATTCTCTACTACATATATATTATACTCTTATCGGCATTCAATTCATCAGGTAGTTATTTGCTTATACATATTAGTGATCAACATTAGACAATGTACATTTTGTATTGTGCTTGCATGAATAGCCTATCCATCCAAAAATTACAATGTGAGGTCCTTTTATTATAATGTCGTTTTTGCATTGACAGGAGACATTTTTGGTTCGGTCGAGGCTGGCCTTTGCCGTATAAATATCAATAACAATCAAGAGAATTTTTTTTAAAGTCAAATAAGTTTTTTTCCTTCGATGTACGTATTTTTCCTCACTCAAGAAAAAGAAGTGAATTCAAGATTATGAATAATTTACCGACAACGAGAAAGCACGACGACAACTAATACGATTCGAATGAGATATCCTTTATAAGGTAATCTAGTCGAATTCGTGATTTTAGTAATTAAAGTAAAGAAAAAATTATTTGTCACCACCTAACAAATTTCTTTCGTTTTCTTTGTAGAATCATGAGTTCAAGGTTCAAACAAGCCTTTTGTTTTCTGCTCAGTGGATTTTCAATGTGTGTTGTTACAGTTTATATAATAAATGTTCATTTCTATAAAAATGTATTGGAATTTAATCGAAAAGATAAAACGGTTCAAGTTCCTGGACGTTTTGTAATTCAATCAACATATCAGAATCCTGAACATGAAGATTTGGATTTGAAAGAACTACTGAAAGACCAAATATCGATACAAGAAAAAGAAAATTCTTGTAAATGGCCTCCCATTGGTTTGTGTAAGTCCTTATGTGGTAAAACCAATTAAATAATGCTAAAAGGTTGCATTCAAGCTAGTTTTGTGTTGCTTTCTACTTTAAAAAAGCAGTCTGATAATTCTTTACAGTCCAAAGTTAAGGGTTTTGAAAGTGCAAAGTTCTAAGCGCATAAGCGAAACAACAAACAAACAAACATAATAAGTACAGTGGAGATCACTTCTAACCTCTCATTAGAACTGTCAGAATAATCTGTCATAGAACTGTTCTAAACTGTCCTAGAACAGTTCTACCTATAACAGTTCTACCCTAGAACTGTTCTAAGTAGAACTGTCAGAATCAGTTCTAGGTAGAACTGACCAAATCAGTTCTAGGTAGAACTGTCAGGATCAGTTCTAGGGTAGAACTGTCTAAACTTGTTCTAGGTAGAACTGTCCAAATCAGTTCTAACCGTAGAACTGTCAGCAGAACTGAATAAATCAGTTCTAACCATAGAACTGTCAGCAGAACTGTCTAAAACTGTTCTAGCCGTAGAACTGACCAAACCTGTCAGGATTGTAGAACAGTTCTAAATGACGTCACTGCAGTTAGGGCATCTCACTGGTCACCATTCAGTACTATAATTATCGTTGATAAAGCCACACGCAAAATGCCTCCTGTCAAAGTTAACAGAATTTCAATGTATTTGAGACAGCGAATATTTAATCTTCGCCAAAGTGGAAAATTGTATGTGAAGATTTCCAGTATTTTATTCGACACAGAGGGAGTTGTGATATAAGTCTTTAAATTTTATCAACGTTTTCCGTGATGAGATATTTAAATCGTCGTTTTTCGTAAACAGTGATGAAGGTGGTGTTAAACTATTGTTTTTCGTGAACACTTTTGTTGTATTTCCTGTGAACTGTGATCAGCTAATTTAACATTACTATAACACATAGTATATCATTGTTATAGTAATCTCAGACCTGATAAAATAACTAACTCTACACAAGAAAGGATTAAAAAATAAAATAATTATGAAGAATGTAAACAAACTGTGACCTCGATCAAAACGGTAACAAGCTTATTGTCAAAAAGAATGTTCCATCCACAAAAAAACGTGTCACCCCTTTCCCGTCAGAACATCGCCAGTCGTTCATTATAAACTCTAAATAATGAAGTTCGGTATTTTCTTTACCTGTAAGTACAAATATTTCATAAAATTATTTGTTTTGCCACTCTCCTCCATCGACATCCATCGTAACAAAATTTCCGCTATAAAAGCGACCAAGGAAACGGTTATGGACATTTTCCGTAACGAGAAATGTTAAAACAGTGCTGTGACGAGAATTTTTCAATATATATTATATTCTTTTAACTTATTTGTATTTAAGACAAAGAGTTCTTAAAACTGTGACTAAATCAATTCTAGCCGTAGAACTGACCAAATCAGTTCTAATCGTAGAACTGTTCTAGTCGTAGAACTGTTCTAGCCGTAGAACTGTTCTAGTCGTAGAACTAACCAAAGACTTGGTCAGTTCTAGGTAGAACTGTCTAAAACTGTTCTAGGGTAGAACTGTCAGGAACAGTTCTAGGTAGAACTGTCTAAATCAGTTCTAGGTAGAACTGTCTAAATCAGTTCTAGGTAGAACTGACCAAATCAGTTTTAGGTTAGAACTGTTCTAGCTAGAACTGTCTAAAAGGTGTCAGGATGACAGTTCTACCTACTGTCCTAGAACAACAGTTCTCCGGACAGATTTGATGAGAGGTTAGAAGTGATCTTCACTGTACTTAGTAATGTAAAACAACAACTGTGGGAAGAGTGCGTATTGGACCTTTTCCAATGATAAATGTGTAACGCCTACACATCCTATTATTTTTCTCCAATGGATTTCAAATTCTTGCGTGTAAGGTGAGTTTCAACGTGAATTGAAAAACACTTGGCAAAGAAGTCATATAAACGCCAAAACATAAATTTCCTTGAGCTTGTTTTTGAGATATACGAATTTCAAAATTTTCCGGAAAGAGTTGTTCTATTTATTGTCAAGAGATGTTTTCACTGTCAAAATCTTGAAGATTCTAGAAATAAGGGACTAACCAGATTGGTCAGGAATGTAGTTTGAGATATATATAATAAAGTTATAAAGCAATCTGAAATTTCTAAGTGCTCCTATCAACATTTTTTCTTGCAAATAATATTACATTTTGCAGTTTGAGATGTATAAGTATGCACTACCGCGTTCAAGATGAAGTTTAATTTGTTGTTATACTTTCAAGACTACGGATTAAAATTCTAAATTTCTTGTGTATATGAGCACTGAAGATTTTCAGCATTTTGAAAAAAAAGTATATTGACAAAAGCAATTAGTTGTGCCAAGAATTTGTCGATACGATTAAATGTCGCTTTTAGCGGCCAGTATGGTTCAAATTTGCCAAAATAAGCTTAGAAACATTGATGATGAATTATTCACTTGCAAGTGAATAATTCGACCTCATTGAATCCGTATTCATGTGAACTTCAATTTAACCCCTTAGCTAGAGATAGATAACGCATGCATTGTGCGTGATGAGTTATTTAAAGGAAAAGAATGTCAACATTGAAAGTGAAACAAAGGTAAATCATTTGATTGACTGATTCGATCCACAATATATCATTCTTATACAGGTAAAAACGATGGTTAACATATATTTTTGATATATAATATGGTATTTAACAGACCTAGAAAAATCCAAATGCACGAGTTCGTTTCTATTTATATCTATATTTATGTTTATATCGCTTATATAACCATCGGAGGTCTCCGGAGGTCAACTCGATAGTTAATTAGATGGCGTCTAGACTTAAATATACACGAAACGATGTTACATATTCTCAAGCTCATGCCCTGTAAATTGTTTATTTTAGACTTTTTATAATATGGATAAATGTTTTACATTGTTATAAATGAAATATGAGAATTTGAATCAAATATGTGAACATGAATTTGACAGCTAGTACCCCTTAAAGACTGTTATAACAAACATATCTGTTCGTGTAGTATCGTCAATACTAGACAATCCGATACTTTTGATGGTTTATTGTTTTCTGCAGACTCTTATATACATCTATTTTCATTTCTACGAGTTGTACTCTTTTTCTTAAATATCTTGTAAATTTGATTAAATGTTTATAATATGTCTCGGTATTTATTGATATCAATAGATTTTGATTTTATATTTACAGACGGAAGAGAGGTTTTAAACAAAGCTGTTATCCCATATGAGGATCTAGCACGTACTTTTTTCTTTATGAGAAAAGGTCATCATATACCAAGTTGTCGACCGTATCAAAAAGTAGCAATTATTGTTCCATACAGAAATAGAGAACAGCAACTTAAAATCTTCTTTAACAATGTTCTGCCACGAATATATCGCCAAAAACAAGAATTTGGAATATATCTTGTAGAGCAGGTAAATTATATTGTCAACTTAAAAAGTATAAGATATGGACTAGATAATAGTAGACTACCGATGTCCATGTCTCATTAATCCACACAGAAGATTAAACAAAAACTGAGCAAATCTCATGAACTCGAAAAGGAGTGAGCGGGTGCATCGACAGGCTGAGTGTCCCCAGCTATGCATGCATCTTCCGCCATGCAAGTCCACTCTCAGTCAAAGTGTAACAATTGGGAATAGGACACAATCGGTAAATTTAGTCGTTTTTTCTTTCAACTCTGTTTGAGCAGTTATTGTCTAGACGCACACCCCTGATGATGAAGTCCTTGTAGTCTGAACATGCACGTGCGTAATTGGGAAATGAAAACGCCATACGATTGGGAAGAAGGTGACAATTGGAAAATTGAAATCATCACGTTTGTCATAGATTTTAGTTTGAATTCGTCCATATGTGTCGATATCGAGAAAAAGATAGGAATATGATGCAGACATTTCTAGTTTAAGTAGTATCCTTAATCTCAGGTTCACTGGGATAAATGAGACGAAAGCACTTACTGAAATGTGGGTAATCAGCTTTGGAATAATACGTTCATACTCAAAAGAATCATATGAGTTAACACCTAGTCCTAATCAAGCCATCAGGTATGCTATCTATATGAATGTAAGTTGTGAAATACTGTTGGTAAAATAGAGAAGAAAAGATAACAAAACTCATTAGTCGAAAACAAACTGACAACGCCATGGCAAAAAACGAAAAACGACCAAAAGACAAACAGCAGTATACAAAACACAACATAGAAGACTAAAGACTGAGCAGCAAGACCCCACTGAAAACTGGGGTGATCTCAGCTTCTCCGGAAGGATGACAGAACTTGCTCCACATGTGATACCCGTCATTTTGCTCATGTAAGTTCAAATGCGATTAAACGTCTAATTCGGTAGGTCACATTCGAAGAAAAGAGGACGGAATTGTGTTTACGAAAATTGAAACATATCTGTGGTCATTCCATAACGGTCAAGCAACTAGTGATGGCGTCCGTAAAATATTTGAAGTGATGATTCCAATTTCACCACTTGGAACTATTAGTTAAATAGCTTCCTTGTGAGCAGCAAGCGTCTATCAAGGAAATCATGATAGGAAATTCAAACTCTGGAATATCGTTTCAAATGGGAGATATACTCCATATGGTAAATTGTGAAATAATGCTGGTAAATTATCATTTCAAATCTCACTTAACTACAATAACAAATCAACAGACAATGTTTCCTTACTTTAGATATGTACATAACCTTATGGGGAAATTACATCATACATAAAAAAGTTATAACAGCATTCGCAAAAAACCTACACAGTACAACACGTCATATCGACCACTAACATCCGAGTTGTCTCTATTCTGAAAATACATACGTACACACATATTTCAGATGCCTGACTTGTTACATTAATAAGTTGTGATGTGTTTGGCCGGTTTTACATACATCTTTTCGCTTTCTAAAGTTTTACATGAAGGAAAATTGATAACAGTGTAGAAAAGGAACTGCAATGAGATTGGCATAGTGAGTGCCCATTGGAAATCCGATAATTTATACTATATACATTCTTCCCATAGCGAACAAACATATTGTCAAACAGGAAATTCATAGTCTTTATCTGTCTATGCATGTCCAGGAACGACGATTAATATACCTTAAATAACTAAAGAAAACATTCTTGATTCGAATAATCACAAGCCCATTGAATTAGCTACTTGATCAATAGAACTCAGTATTTCTAAGACATCACCAGAATTCTTTTACATTCAAAAACAATTGACGCTTGTTTTAATAGATTTTATTGTAGGATTGGTAATGGTAATAAGTTTACTAGTGAGTAGGACAGACCATTTAATAGTAGGTTACTTGCCAGAAGCTGATAGAAAGCGGGATTTATAAGGAGTTTTGTGTAATTTAGGTAACCAAGACATTGAAGTTCAATTTAGTGGTTTTCTATTACCTCATTTTCCGAAAAATTGTTCAAAAAGTAAAATCACAAAAATACTGATCTCCGAGGAATATTCAAAAAGGAAAGTCCCAAATCAAAACAATAGTTTCAGAATTTTGGATTTCTTCTCGCAAGAAGTCGATCTAATATTTACACTAACGTCAAACAAACACATTTTGTTGTCGTTTCAAGCTGGTACTAAGGCATATGCATTGTTAAAAGTCTTTCAAGTTTATATCTTATTATAGATTTCTGTAACTTTATTTCTTGTTTTAGGTTAATGAACTTCAATTGTTATCTGATCTTGGCTTTTTCACGAGCAGATGATTATACATTCATGCAATCGTAGTCAAACGTACAGACATAACATAAGCAAGAGTTTTTAAATTTAGATTAAGTGATATGTCAGATTTATTTGTTTGTGTTATTGCTGAACTATCAAAATGAATTTAAGACATACAAGTATTATCATAAAAATATCATTTTACCAGGTTTAGGTATACCAGGTTTAATCCACCATTTTCTACATAAGAAAATGTCTGTACGAAGTCAGGAATATTACAGATGTTATCCATTCGTTTGATGTGTTTGAGCTTTTGATTTTGCCATTTGATTACGGACTTTCCGTTTTGAATTTTCCTCGGAGTTCGGTATTTTTGTTATTTTACTTTTTGCATGATAATAAAATTCATCCACTATTCATTCCTGTATGATTTTAGGCAGATGACTACCCGTTTAACAGAGGAATGTTATCAAATATTGTATATGAGCATGCAATGCAGGATGATTTTGCCATTTGATTACGGACTTTCCGTTTTGAATTTTCCTCGGAGTTCGGTATTTTTGTTATTTTACTTTTTGCATGATAATAAAATTCATCCACTATTCATTCCTGTATGATTTTAGGCAGATGACTACCCGTTTAACAGAGGAATGTTATCAAATATTGGATATGAGCATGCAATGCAGGATGATATGTATTCGTATGATTGCATTGTAATCCATGACGTCGATCTGCTGCCAGAAGACGACAGAAATTTGTATTTCTGTAATGATAAAGTAGCTTACCATTTAGCTGGTAAAATGGAGAGAAAAAATTATAGGTTATTATATTAATTTTACTAACAGAGTGGTTTGGAAAAGACAGGACTCAGAACATGTTACGGTTTTTGATGGGGATCGTGTTGCTCAGTTTTTAGTTTTCTATGTCTTTATGTGTACTGTTGTTCGTCTTTTCGTCGTTTTTCGTTTTTTTTCATGGCATTGTCAGTTTGTTTTCGACTGATGAGTTTAAATATCCCTTTGGTATCTTTCGCCTCTGTTTTAATGCTGATTTAAATACATTTATGAAGGAACGGAAAAGAGATTGCCTAAAATAAAGGATAAAAGATTAGAAGCATCACTCGTTAATACAATGAATTAATAATATCAGTGCTTAATGTGTGAAATAAATTTTATGTTCAAAATACAAGAAAGTTCAGCTAACTTAAAGATACATGCTACTAAAATACATAAACTACACAGGGTCTTCCTCTCTCAATTGATTTTACAAATAGAACTCTTGTCGGTGAGACAGTGTTTGGGCAGTGGATATTTTTGTTAATTGATAGTCATTAACTTAATATACTACATAGAACATTGTTGACAAATATCTCTTTCTTATATTCTTTAGCATGATTTATCCCGGATTTTTTGGTGGTATCTCTTCGGTATCAACAAAACAGTATAAGATGTGTAATGGTTTTTCTAATGCTTTCTTTGGATGGGGAGCAGAGGATGACGATTTCAAAAGAAGGTACAGAAAAGTACACGAGAATGATTTGTAAATGAAATGATATAGTTATTTCGAAAAACAATTAAGCGTTAGTCAACTTTCAAAGTTTACTATGGTGCAAATAAAAACAAAATTTAGGAGACAAAAAATTTCCTTTTCACCACGTTGATGACTGTTATTTTTTTAGGGGATATTGAGTTGTCTTATTTGAAAACGTGTTTGGTTGTGTTGCTGTCTCAGTGATTTATACTGCGAATCTTCTTTTATTTTTATATATATTAATAAAAAAAATGTCTATGTCAGATATCGCTAAACAAAACACATAGTTAATATGTTTTTCATGATACAAACAACCGTACTGATCGCTTATTCTGTATTAAGTCGATATTTCCCCAAATATTTTGCCTTTACCTGGATTTCTTTATGTTTTACTCTGTTAAATATGCCTCGTATATTTATACACATTTCACTTTAAAACTATAAACGTAGAGCAATGCTAGTGAAATGTTTTCTGAGATACTACGAATCTTCTTATACATATATATATATATATATAATTAATAAAAACTATGTCTAAGTCAGATATCGTTAAAAATAAACACATACTTATTTTTTTTTAAACAAACATTCGTACTGATCGCTTATTCTATAAAAAGTCTATATTTCCCTAATATTTTGCCTAAGCCGGATTTCTTTATTCTGTGTATTATGCCCCCTTTCCTCATTAATACACATTTCAGATTTAAACTGTTGACGCAGAGAAATGCCAGTGATTTTTTTTGTTTGTGATAGTCGTACTATAGTAAAAGAGTAATCTGTCATTTTTATACTTTTATATTCAGATTGAACAATGCCGGATTTCATATCAGCAGACCGTTAGAAAAGTTTTCTCACTGTGGTGATGTTGAACATATAAAGGCAGAACCAGCAAAGCAGAGGTATTTAGTTTGTGATATAAATTCAAATCAAATTAGATGACACAAGAAAAACAAAACACAAATATACAACGACAAACATCTCATCATATGATCCCAACTTTGGACAGGAAAGTAAAGTAATAAGCGATTGAACATGATTGTGATTTGCACCTCTCTCTATGCTGAAATAGAAAAAAACAATGCAACGAAAGAAAATAAATGAAATGATCGGTACTTAGAGCAACATACTTCTATAAACAGTTCCTGGAAGAAAGTTATAAGATCCATGTTGATTGATAAGTAGAATAAATTATTCTGAATGAAATAAATGTAACAAACAAAATTATGACCTTGTGCCATGTCCCAAAACATATGATTTTTATATCAAAGCAGTAATGGAACTTAACATTTGTAGCAATGTCATTAAGTTCTTGATCATCTATTCAATAATCAACATTATAAACACAAGAAATGATTTTTCTATACAAAAACAAATGATGAAAAGAACGATTTTAAGATAAATCAAGATTCTCGGTGGTATCCGGCAAATTGATTATCTTATTATATAAATGACTGCCTTCATGACACGTTTTTAACTTCAGGTTTAAAGTGTATCGAAAAGTTGGACGAACATGGAAGTTTGAAGGTTTGAATAGCTTGCAATATCAGCTAATAAAAAAAGAAAGGAAGCAGTTGTATGTCTGGATTTATGTCAAAACTAAATATGTGATAGTATAAATGTTTTTTTACAACACATCTTAATAGAATGATATCGATAAAAACAAAACAAAATATTTACTTTAAAAAGATTTACACATAAGGATTGTGGTGGAGGCTGGTGTTTCAAAAATAATAACAGATATGAATGTTTCTGTTGTTTTTATTAGTGGAAATATATAGGCGAGTGACATTATCCATAAAAGTTTATTTTAATGCACACAGCTTACATACGAATAAATCATATACTATTCGAAAGCATACCATCTGTTATATCTTTTTTGCCCTGTGGTCAAATATTCGTAGGTGCAATTCTGTTAAATCAAGATCAAAGGTCGAGGACCTAACTAAATTTTCAATATTTCAGTATTTTTTGCATATAATGTCTTCTGAATAATAACACAATGTATAAAAACATGGAAGACTTTCAGAACGCACTTTAAAATTTAATGGTCTATTTTGTGATAAAAAGCGCTTTTTTCCAGAAAGATCAGTGAAAATCATAAAAAATAGCGATAATCAAAATATTTTTATCTTATGCATCTATTAATCACCTTACATCAAATACTAATCTTTTTGTAGTGCTAAGAAAGTTTTTGACATAATCATTGGACCGTCATGAAACTTATTGTTTATTCAAAGGTCAAACAGTCGCCCAAAATTCTGCCATCTGATAAAAAAAACAGCTTGTTTTAACTCTCCTAGCTAGAAAATAGAATTTTGTCTATATTTATTTGAAAAAAAACACAATTTAAAAAAGGTTAAAAGATTGAAGACACGAGGGTTTCATACTTAAGGAGAGAATACTGAGGTAAAACGTTCAATATTTCAATACGTATTGAATAGCCTCGGTGGTGTTATGTTAGAGTGCTCTCCTTGAGTGCTAGAGGTCTTGGGCTCTATACCCAGTCGGATTAAACCAAAAACAAATTAAAATTTTTAATTGCTTCTTCCCCGCTAGACACAAAGGAGATAGACAAAAGACTAGTAGGCTCAGAGTCAGTTTAATGTACCTGGGTAGAATGACAGGTCTTCCTGTGGACTGTTTTCTCTATTGCGTTAAAAAAAAACGGCTCAGCGTGTCTGTCAAGTACATAACAGGGTTCATATTCATATCGCATAAACATGTTTTCCTCCTATTTGAGTGTTTAATTTGTACGAACTAAGAAACCACATAAAAATACATAGTTATGTAACGTGTGACGTGTCTGGGATCCGTAACCAAGTTGATTCTAAGACAGCAATAAAAGCGCTGTTTCTTTGCTTTGGATGGATACCCCATATCAATTTTTTTCTATTATATCATTAAATGGATTATTTTTGCTCTCTTATTATTATAAGCTGTCTCGACTCAAGTTTTCCTCGTCGTACGCCTGAGCAAATATTTGTAAGCTGGTAACGCATTCATATGTACATTATGTCAAATCATAATTTTAATTCCTGTCCATTGTTTACGCCCTGGATTGCAGTCATAGTCATTGTCCTGCATGTAGATGTCAACACGGTTGTTGCTGTGTGACAACAGGCGCTTGTTTTGTTAATATATCACTGTTTATGAGCAATTTGATTCGGCAGCCAGTAGAATGCATGGGAACAACTGCATAACCGCACAATGTATTTAATCAATTACAAAACTTGATTTGACATTTATTTAATTATTTTGTTTTTGAGGAAGAAAAAGAAAATTGTGATATAGACAAAGACAACTAGTTATTTGGTACAGACACATTGGCATGTGCGGCATGAAACTTTATTTTGTACTGTTGAACCATGCATTCTTCTTTTAAACTGAGTTTAACTGTGCGTATTGCTTTGTGTTTATTTATTCTACATTGGCTAGAGGTATAGGGGGAGGGTTGAGATCTCACAAAACATGTTTAACCCCGCCGCATGTTTGCTCCTGTCCCAAGTCACGAGCCTCTGGCCTTTGTTAGTCTTGTATGTTTTTTTTAATTTTAGGTCATTTATATGTTTCGGAGTTTAGTGTGATGTCCATTTTCACTGAACTAGTACACATGTTTGTTTAGTGGCTACCTAAAGCCCGCCTCCGGGTGCGGGACTTTCTCGCTGTGTTGAAGACCCATTGGTGGCCTTGTTCTTTGGTCGAGTTGTTGTCTCTTTGACACATTCCCCATTTCCATTCTCAATTATATTCCTGAATAATCATTTATCCAGATCAACCTGAAATTGTTCGCAAATCTTGTGATTGTTGGTTTTGTTGTTTCCTGGTCCAATCGTGGTCTTTGGAAAAATGATATCAAGAAAATAAGGTAAATCGATACCAAGGGGCAATATAAAAAACACTAAGTCGATGAAAGACAGAAAATAACATGACCAGAAAAAAAAGAACAACGGTCCCCAATACTATAGTCAACACAAAGAAGACAAAAGATTAGGAAATACGAACCAAACTTAAGGGCTGAAAGGGTAAGCCTGCCGTCCAAATCAGTTAATTGATTAATAAAAGGTATACCAAAAATACCGAACTCCAAGGCAAATTCAGAAAGGGGAAGTTCATTAAAACTGACAGAATCAATGGAACGAGTGAAGAACAACTGTCATATTCCTGACTTGGTACAGACATTTTCCGAAGGAAATGGTGGGTTAAACCTGGTTTGATAGCTAACTACCCTCTTGCATGACAGTTGTTTATAGTTTCGTCATATTGACAAAATATTTTAAGTGAGCAACCCAAACAGACATTATAGGTAAATAATAATAAATGGCTTACTTTTACTCCTAGATGCTACGTGCCTGGTTGGAAACATCAAATACCATTTTCAAGTAAGGTTTAACCACTAGTAGTTAGTGAGGCAGGGTATTCTAGTCTTTTAATTTTAGTTATCTATGGAGTGTTTTTTTGACTTGATTGTCTTTTCGTAATATTTCTTTCTTAGCCATGGCGTATTGTCAGTTACTTTCCAAATTATGAGTTTTGAATGTCCCCTTATATTTTCCTCCTCTTTTTTTTCGTGTCCTTGTGAATGCTCCTCTACCAAAACTCTTTTTTTCCAAAAGGTTCCAACTTTCTAGGATTGGGTTGTTGTTGGTTCATGTCTGTCATATTTGTTTGTCGTTAATTGTTTTGTTATAAATAAGGCTGTTAGTTTTTTCAATTGAATTGTTTCATATTTTTCATGACGGGGCCTGTTATAGCCGACTTTACGGTATGGGTTTTTCTCATTGTTGAAGGCCGTACGGTTGCCTATAATTGCTTACATTCACTTTATTTGAACTTTGGTGGATAGTTGTCTCATTGGCAATCATACCTCATCTCCTTATTTTTATATTCGTCATTTTTTGGTCTATTGTAGAACACTATATATAGTATTACATCTTATGCACCTAACACTGAGACTATATGTCCGAAGCTTTCATACTATACATTTGTCTGTTGAAACATATTGTATATTGAAATAACATACAAACATTGCAAATAATAGTTGTGAGATAAAATAGGTTCACAGGGTATATGATTTTTTGCATACATCACCGTTATTCACAAACATAAAAGGTATGACCGACAAATTACAAAATTGTTACATGTTTTATATATTTTTTGTGTGGTGTTATCTTGTGTGATTTGTTTACTCAGCTTGATTTGGTAAGAGATTGGATAAGGGCGAAGGACAACACAGAGGTCAAGTGATTATTAGACTTTGTGTTTTTAGGATTTTGTATCCTACCATTAAAGGTTTCTTAAATCGTTCTTTAAATAAAATATAAACACAAAGTTCATTTGTTCAATTGGAACGAACCTATCTTCTTTTGTTTATCATAATATTAAATAAAACATTGAATTGAAAAAAAATTAGAATAATAACAATTCACAAAACATCAATTAATTTGCAAATGAATCAAATGACTTGAACAAATTATGCTTTCAATCAAATAGATAAAATTAATTAATTCTTTCTACTTTTATATTCCAGTTTTTAATCAACTGGCTATTCCACAAGTTCACCATTTGAATGTCTCTAAAAAAGCTTCTAGTATCACAGTAAATCTCTATATATTTTTTCTATTTCCTAAAAATTAATTTAGTATTAATCTACCTGAAAAATAAATCTAATTGGTATTAATTTTTTTCAAACACAAATAATATAACATTAAATTGGAATTTTGAACTTTAAACACAATGAAAAGTTTAAATTAATGTTTTCTTTAACAATATATTACAAGCGCAGTATGAACATAGAAGATTTTTAAAACTTCTTCGAATTCCGCTGCTATTAGTATTTGCCCAAGTAAAGTTATTTGCTGCTTATTCGTCAAACTTTAAGCAAGGATACATATTATTTTTTAACAAAAATGTTGTCCATTAGAGTTCAACATTTTATTAATTATAAACTAACTACTACAATCGTTTCTATCCTAGTTAACATGATTAATATTGAAAATGTGGTGTGGTGTGATGGAGTTGGCGTTTGAAAGTTTTACTGTTCTATACCTATGTATAAATGTATTGATAATGTGGTGTGGTGTGATGGAGTTGGCTTTTGAAAGTTTTACCGTTCTATACCTATGTATAAATGTATTGATAATGTGGTGTGGTGTCATGAAGTTGGCGTTTGAAAGTTTTAATGTTCTATACTTATGTATAAATGTATTGATAAAACATTAATACAAGATGTTTAACCTGCGAAAACTTTAATTTAATCTATAATAAACATATTGAGATGCGAAGCAGATGTTCTCAATTTGAAATTGAACTCACATGTACATGAACGTTTGCTAAAGATATACACTAGTCATAGTGAGTGGAAGCTGTTACAGGTATGAGGCTTTAGTTTCATATTTTGTGCGAATTATTTTTCTTTACAAATTACTAATTCATTTGTCTTTTTGCAATGCATATTTTTTAATGACCAATCAATTCAAATACGATATGTTTTATTCGAGTTGATCTTAGATCACATTAAATTACAAGTGTGGACATAGATACGTGTGGATAGTATGTTTTGATGTTAAAGAGTTTTCTTTGGGTTATTTCATAGGGTTCTATGAAAAACTGTGTTCCACAGCGAGAGCTATCCTGAATATGATCAGTACCAAACACAAACCATTTGCAGTATTGTTTATTCAATATTTGGTTTTAATGTTCAAGACTGTCATGGAGGAGGCATTATTTGTATGGATTACCATTTGATTCTGTTAAAATATGTTCCGCAACTTTGCTTTTGGATAGCAGCAAAAACTAAGAATTAGCAGAGGAACACAATAG